CTTTTGCAGAAAACACTCAATGCACTGAGCTTTCCCATTAAACCATGAAACAGATGTTCTTGCCTAAATTTCACAATTATGCACAAATACAAATGGCATTTCATCCTTAAGAATCAGAATCATCTGTCAGCCCAGTGAGTGCTGGCAAGCTGTTTGAAACTGACAGTTTCTGGAGGCTTAGGGGTCTGCCATGATCACTCAGTAACTTAGAGGAAATAGAATCCGACACAGGTGACAGTGAGTTTTTGCTGTGAGATTCAGATCATCTTGGTTTCCTTAAGTATGAAAAGTTCACAACAGAAAGAATGACAAGGTCAATAATGAGATTAAACAAAAAGAATGAGCAGGATTTTTAAATGATGGTGTATTTCCTGTGCGATTTTTCCTTCAAACCTCCTTGGAGAATGTTATGACCACCAAGGTAGTAAGTATCAAAGCCGACTCTTCGAGGTTACTAGGGAGGAGTTGGTTTTTGTTTCCCCAGATTTACTTAAATCCTTTGGTAGGAATCTTACTTTACAAAAGATGATGGGTGAAGGATGAGATTGTTCTTATGAATTCAGGATATAACTTTATTCTCTGTGTCCTTTCAGGTTCGTTTACACGTTGATGGTATTTGTTGTGTGTGTTCTAGGTGGAAAGGTTCAAGGCATACAAATGAGGAAGGTGCCATCATCAAAGTGACACCGTTTTAAGGAACTCTGAGAACTGGCATCTGGTCAAATAACAGGATAAAGAAAAAAGTCACTCAGAATGTGCTGTCCCAGGAGCATTCCTAGCTATTAGCAAATTTTTCAATAAATGCTGATGCAAATATGGATTGTATTTTATACCATTTTACTAAATTATTATACATGAAACACCTATAATTATTCACAGTAAGAAATGTGGAGATGATATACAAGTGCCTGCCCTCGTCCCACAGATTGGGGCAGCAGATGCCACTACAATGAACAAATGTGTGATAGAGATGTGGGAAAGACAGAGTATGTGGTAGAGATGGGAGAGAAAGAGAAGTACAGCAGTTCATGTGCTGTGGATAGAGGTGGAGGTTCAAAGGCTGTGAGGAACAGACAGATATGAGGAGCTTTTGCTGCCTCTTGAAGCCATGTTGATGTCCTGGGGCCCTACTGTTAGCTGGGACCACACTGATTGAGTGGCCTGTGCTACCACCTGAGGCCATGAAGATGTCTGGACCAGGGCTGTCAACAAAGGCCATGTCCAGGTCCATGGCCCTGCCACAGCTGTGATCTGTGTGGATGTCCATGGCCCATGTTGCCACTGAGAACCACTCAGATATCTGTGGTCTGGACTGTTGTTTAATGCCATTCAGATGTCTGGGGGCCCTACAGTCAACAGGGGCCAAATTAATATGAGTGTTCTCTGCTGCATCCTGGGGTCATGCTGATGTCCTGGTCCAGGCTACTGCTGAGGGACATGTCTGGGTCCAAGGACTTACTGTAGCCTGAGTCTGTGTTGATGTCCATGGCCTGAGTTACCACCAAGGTCATACAGTACTCCATGGTCTGTGCTGCCACCATGAAGGCCATGGTTTCATCTAGGACCAGCTGCTACCAAGCACCATGTTTGGATCTGAGGCCCTCCATTTCTGGAGTCTATGTTGATAACTGAGGCCTGGGTTGCCATCAGGGATCAATTGGATGACTGTTGTCTGGTCTTCTATAAGGATGTCTGGGCCTGGGGTGCAACTGAGGGCCAAGGGTCCATGGTCCTACTTTAACCAGAGTTTGTGTTAATGTCCATGGCATGTGATACCACCAAAAGCTGAGTGGACATACACTACTCCATGGTTTCTGCTGCCACATGAAGCCATGTTGATGTCCTGGTACCATGCTTATCTGACTCCACCCTTCACTGGATACGCAAGATCTGGTTTGACCCCTCACCAGCTGCAGTACTCAGGAGAGCTGTCCTCACCCCTTGCCTGGGCATTGTGGGATAGCTGGCCCTGATGGCATGAGCTTGGGAGAGCTATCCCCAACCCCTGTAGGCCCTGT